TAAACGTTAATTAACGGTAAATTATTATATATTTTACTTACCTTAAGACTTTTTTCAGAAGACCTTTCAATATTGTATAAAATTAATTCTTTTAACGTAATAACAATAATAATATAATTGTATAATATAAAGGAAATATTAAAAACAAGATAAATAAATGTTATAATGAATTTAATAAACTGGCGACATACTACCAGCCCGACCCACTAAAACCCGTAACCCTTTTTTTGAAGCCCTTTACCCTCCCTCGGAACTGTCGTAAGACTTTAGCCTTCAAGGGTGGCGCTCCAACTCTATCGCTGCTACGACTTTGTTATTTGTCTGCGGTTCTCCTGCGTCAATAGTTAAAAAAGCGATAAAAACTATTTCAAAGTCCAAGCGAAATTCACAACACAAGAATAATAAAAAAACAAATTTTTAAAAAGTATAAAAAGTCAAAAGATAAAATTGCAAACGGATATAAAAAAGAAAAGAAAAAAAAAGTAAACACGTATATAATTTTGAGAAGATAAAACTGTACAAAAATGAATAAAAAACACAAAACAAATTTAAAAATGTATAAGGACAAATAAATCACAAAATAAATTAATAAAAGAACAAACAAACAAATTAAAAGCTGTTTAAATTACGCTTTTTGGCGGCCGTCAAGATCCTTCATCGACATAACCGAGATTATGAAGTTTTTGACTTGCCGCCAATTCTCTTCTGACTGGGTCATCAGCGATACCATGTTCTCCGGTGTAACTTGACTGTTTACACCTTCGAACATGGCCCGCCTCTCCAAGTCCCACTTTCTGCATGAGAAGAGGGTGTGCTCCGCGTTGTCCTCAGGGAACTGGCAATATGCACACACCTCGTCCTCGCGTAATTTAAAGCGACACAGGTACAAGTTAAAACACCCGTGACCTGTGAGCGCCTGAGTCAAATAATAAGAAACCTGACCGTGTTTCCTATTTATCCAGGTGGCGAGTGCCGGGATAAGGCGATAAGTCCATCGACCTTTTTCCTCACCATCCCATCTCTCTTGCCATCTTTCTATGAGCCTGTGCCTCGCTACTTTGCGGATCAGGCCCTTGCTTGGTCTCAATTCCGCATCCAAGGAACTGCTTTCTTTAGAAAAGAGAAACATTTCTTCCCTTTCCCTCGCCAAAAGATCTGCTGGCGGGACACTTGCAAGGACCTGCACAGCACTCGTAGATACCGTCTTATATGCAGAGATGATACGCGTTGTTATTGATCTCTGCGCGGACAGTACCTTTTCACAGATGGTGACACATCTTTTACTCCTCAGGGATGGGGCCCACGCTGGTGCTGCATAGAGCATTTTAGCGTGGGCGACACTCGCCACCAGTCTTCTTTTTTGTTCACGGGGTCCGCCAACATTTGGCATTAGCCGTGAAAGATTAGCCGCACACTCGATCGCCTTATTTGACGCCGTAGCCATGTGGTGGTGGAAGTTTAACCTTTCATCTAACTCCACACCAAGATATTTAATTTGCTTACTCCACTTGACCTCGAATCCGTCTATCACGATTCGTGGGAGCTCATAACCACGTCTGTCTGTGACCAGCAGTGCCTCGGTCTTTTCCAGGGCCATTTCAAGACCTCTGGTATCCAGCCAGCTTTTTGCTAGTCGCAGACATTCGTTCACCAATATCCCAAGAGCCTTCTCGCTTTCGGCAGTGCACACGAACAACGCGTCGTCCGCAAAGCCGATGATCACCGCACCTTCAGGCAGATCCATCCTCAGGAAGTCATCGTAAGATACATTCCATACAAATGGACCCACCCTCGAGCCTTGAGGAGTCCCACGCTGCATCTCTTCCCTGAGAGTGCAGGTGTCTCCCTCATATATAACCCACCTGTCGCTAAGATAATTATCCATTATCCGCAACAAGTAGGGCGGGATTTTTTTCTTTTTCATCGACTAGATGAGATCTTTCCATCTTGCGGAATTAAACGCGTTGCGTATGTCAATTGCTACCAACGCGCAGAAGCTCTTCTTTTTTCCAGGTCCTAATTTGTTTTTTCATGCTTTGCAGAACCATATCTTCTAGAAGTTTACTTATCGTATCTAGCAGGCATATAGGCCTGTATGATGAGACTTTATCTAGAGGTTTTTAACCTTTCCTCAGGAGGACTAACCTCTGTCGCTTCCAAGCGCGGAAGAACTCTCCTCTCTCAAGGCAAAGATTGAAGCAAAATCTGGGGTGAAGTGTCGATTACCAACTTTAGGATCTCGTTACTTACCCCATCGATTCCAGGCGCCTTGCCTGTTTTCAATCTTTTGCCTGCTCTTTGCAGTTCACTAAGTGTGAAGAATTCTTCCTCTTCGACTTTGCAAGAACTCCAGTCCCTTCTAAGGTATGGTTCTGCAGGATAAAACAAAGAACTTATTATTTTTCTGACCCAATCGGGATTGTCCAGGCTGGGGGTCTTTTGCCTCGTGACTAATTTCTTAGTCACGATTTTAAAAGCCAGACCCCATGGGTCCTTATCGACTTCCTCGATTAGGTCCTTCCAGCTACGGCGTCGCGACTTGCGGATCTCTTTTTTGAGGTTATTTTTTGCCTCCTTGAAAGCCTCTTTCAGCAAAGGATCTCCCTTAGATCGGGTGTATGTCCTTCTTGCTTTGAGGCATTCCTTTCTCAAGGAGGCCAGCTTCTCAGACCACCAGTGCAAGGATTTTTTCCTTGGAAAGGCCCATTTGCGACGTGGCATCGACGCATTGCAAGCGGTGACGATTATATTTCGCACCGCTCGCACCTCTCCATTTAGACTTTTCGGCCTCCTCACCCAACCAGAATCCTCAATTAAGATAGATTCTTCTAGGGACCGGCTGAACTTTTCCTTGTCGAGTTTCTTAATGTTCCACGAGAAGATTTTGCGACTAGGAGCTTCCTGTCTTTTTCCTCCTCGTGTGTCTTCCAATGAGACTGAGAACTCAATGTACTGGTGGTCACTTGCTGTATATTCCTCAGAGACCCGCCAGTCGCTTATGCGGCTAAATATATTACGTATATTAGCCACTTCTATCCACACAAACCCGCTGCTTGTCTCCAAGAACTTGTCAAACCGCAATTTTGGGTTGCACAGCTTGATGGCGACTCTCTTCGCCTTATCCTGATACCAAGGTGCGAGGTCGCTTCCCTTATACTGCTCACTGCAGAACAGGATATCGACCTCATTTTCCCTAGCTGTTTGCATCAGGAGCACCTGTGCATCCTTACTTGTATGCAGGTTGACTCGAAGGAGTTTTAGGGATTTGCCCTTTTAAGTTTATCCAGTTTCTCCTTGTAAACCGGGCAGGAAATTCTTCCAGGGATATGGTTGACTACCGTTTTTCCCAAATCTGTACACGTAATGCACTTTGGCTTGTCGCTAGTACAACTCTTGGCGAAATGTCCCGCTTCGCCGCATCTCCGACAGTTTTTTGTTCTGTCGGGGCCCTTGCAAATTATTATTATTATTATTATTATTATTGTTATTATTATTATTGTTATTATTATTATTTTTATTATTATATTTTTAATTATTTATTACAATTGTAATTATTATATTTATAATTATTTATTACAATTATATTTATTACATTTATAATTATTTATTACAATTATAATAATCATTATTTTAATTATATACTATAATTATAATTATTATAATTATAATAATTTTATTTATAATTATTTATTATAATATTATAATTGTAGTTTATATTTATTTTTTAAATCCTGTAATTTAATTTTATTCGTACTAATTAAATTTTGCAACCCGTGTAAAGCTCAAATAATTTCTCAGAGACATCTACAGGATTTATTCTATAACTTATTTGTACAATTTCCCTTCTATTGAAATCGAAATCGACGACTTGTAAGTGAATAAATATTGTTTTTATTAAAATACTGTGTCTCCCATTTACTCTCCTTCCTCCCCTTTTCCCTTAATTATAATTGGAGATCTGGGCCTCCAGTTATAAATTGGCGCCCAACGAAAAAATCCACCTTCCATATTTCCTTTCTGTAAAGAAAATTTTTAGAATAATTCTTTTCATCATCTTCGTTTGTTGAAAATTGCCAAAGAAAATTCCCAGAAAATTCATTTTTTTCATCATTTTTTAATTGTTGAAAATTCCACCTGTCACCTCATTGTCGCCTAACCTAAAAACCGAACCTTTTCTCTCTTCCTTTTTCCCATATTTAATGAAAAATATTTCATTTGTGCTTGAAAATTATTGATTTTATTTTGTGCTATTTGTATATAACTTCTGACAATTGTGAAAAATTTTTATGTGACGAACGAACGACAATGACGAAAATTATTGTGTAAAATCAGTGCGCGAAAGCACCGGTAAAAAATAAATCGTGGAAAATTCATATAAATCGGGACTAAATTTATGAAAATTAGCGAAAATTAGTGAAAATAGCGAAAAATAAAATCGGAAATTACGTAAAAAAGTGAATTTATCGATTATTTTAAGAGAAAATTTTGTCGTTGATAGAAGACGGTTTGTTTTGTTTTCGTATTCGAGGTCGTGTGTAACACAGAACAAAATAGTAAACGGAAAAGTAAACACGACAAATTTCGCGATTAAATCGAAAAATAATTTCGTCAAGTTAGAAATAAAAATTAGTATACAGGGTGACAAATGAAATTGAATCAAGAAAGTAGAGAAAATAAAATCTTCGAAAATCAAGACTTATACTGGGTGTGTAAGAAGTATCGATTTATTTTCTTTTAGTATCTTTATTGAAGGAAAGTGTCATTGATTTTTTTAAGTGCAAATCGATAAATAAAGTAAATTTCGGAAAAATTTGAAAATTAGTTTGAACATTTGTGATAAAATTAAGAAACAATTGAAATTTTTTCTCACGTAGAAATTCATGATGATGAATAGAAAATAGCGGAAAAATTTTTCTTTTGTATTGGAATTAGTGGAATAAAATTAAATAACGATTTAATTTTAATTCTAATTTTTCAATAAATAATTACAAATGGCGTAGAAACGCGTATTACGATCGACAACTAGAAAAATGCGAGAGAACAGAGAAACGGAAAATAGTTCGGGAAATGAAACAGATTTTGAGGAAACAGACACAGCGAGCGAGACTGCCCCTCTCACACACAGACAAAATTCCCTCCCGCAAGACAATAAATCAAATGATTTAGAAGCCACGATAGAGACACACGAGGCAATGATTCGTGCTCTCGTTGAACTCGTGCCTCCCGAAAAATAGAAATTTTTTAATTTCAATAAATGTATGCCCCTCCCAAGCGGAACCAGAGAACGAGCAGCAACAAGGAACGTATCCTTGCCAGGATTAAAGGCAAGAGATACGAAGGACGCGAGTGTGCAGTTGATGCATTTGGAGAACAGTAACCAAGGGTTACTAAATGCAGGCCCAACAGCTGTACCAATATGAGGAAATATTGCGAACTAAAAGGGAAAAACTGCGCGAAAAGGAAAAATTTTTAGAACTCGAACACAGAAGAATAGTACAGGAAAAATACAAAACTTCTGCATATATTTCAATAAATAGAAGTACTAAAAATAGTAGCGAAGCGGATAATATTTTTCGAATGCGTTTGGATAAATATCTTGAACAGATAAAAGCGAAAATTTGGAAAAACGACAGAATGTTCATTTTAAGGAAAATACTCGGAAAAATCAGGAATTTAATTACGAATGGCCCGAAGATAGTAAAATAGAAGTAGTAAACGAACCCAAGATTTCGGAAAAATCTGATTTTCACCCAAAAAAAATCAGAGAATATTTTTCGCAAAGAAAGTTCGCGACCAATACAAAATTTTTCAGGACGTGAAAATTATTGTTTTGGAAATAAGAATATTGCTGTTCATGGCGACGATCAGGAACAATATTCAGATTCAGATAAATTCGTAAATGAGATAACGTTAAGAGACAAAGAACTAGAACATCTCAAATTAGAATTGGATCGAATGAGAAGCGTTATAGAAAATTTAGCGAAAAATATAAATTCAAAAATACAAGAAAATTTCACAAAAAATACTCAAGTCGAAAATCCAAATGCCCAAGCCGATAATAATCGCCATTTTGGAAATTCAATTAACCCCTTTCCTTTTGGCATGATTCAAACCCCGTTTCAAATAATGTCAAAATGGCCTTTTAAATTCCACAATAATAAAATTGATAACCCTATTCAATTCTTAGAAGAACTATTTAGATTCAAGCAAGGTTATGAAATATCGAATAATCACGTACTAGAAAATATTGACGCAGTATTAGCGGACGAAGCTCTCGAATGGTGTAGAACAGTTAGACTTTTTATATTGTAATAAGAAAATTGTTCGGAAAATTACATCCGCGAAAAGGTTTACAATGGGAACTACGTCGCGCGTACGAAAATTTGCGGATCGAATACAAAATGTACATTCAAAGAAATGATTTCAAAACCTTCGAGGAGTTAGAAAGCCTTCGAAATCGAGAGGAATAAATCAAAAATTCGCGGTCAATCTTTGAAAATTGCAACTTATGAAAAAGAAAACTCGTCTAGTGATGAATCTGAACAAATGTCAGACCAGAGAAATAATGAAAATTTTAGAAAATTTGGTGGAAGTTCGAAATTCTAATCAAAGTTTTCAGGAAATTATTTTCAAAGAAACTGGTCATATGACCAACCAAAAACAGCTTTTCCACCTGACACAGCTACAGACGGTAGTAGAGGTCAGAACATGATGGAAAATTCTTCTGATGATGACAATAATACAGATAATAGTCTACAAGCGGCAGTACAAAATCATTCTTCTGCAGGGAATGTAAATGCTTCTAGAAAAGATCAAAAGGATAGAAATTATCAGAGAAATTTTTCAAACTCACAGAAAAGATGTTACGGTTGCGGAACATTAGGTCATATACGTAGGGAATGTAGATCAGAATCACGGAAACGAGTAGAGGAGGTACGGAAAAATTCAGTATTCTCAGAGAATATTGAAACATCAGAAAATTTTGAACCTTTGAATCTTTGATGACGATAGGGGAATGAGTTGAAAAAATGAACAGAGTCGAACCCGTAAAACAGGATGTAGGATCACAAACGGAGTGGTCAAGCACTCATCGTGTAAATCGAAAAATTAAAAACGCGCAAAAACCCGAGAAAATTAGGATAAAATCCAGGAAAAATTTTGAACTGAAAATGGTTCGCAAAAACGGAAATTTGAGAAAATTCGAAGAAAAATTTGAATTGAGAAAAATTCAAAGTAATGGAAATTCGACAAAAGTCGAGGAAAATTTTAGAAAACACGAGAAAAATTCTAAAACCAGAATATTTGGTAGAAAAGAAAATTCTACGATATTCGAGAAAAAAGTCGAATTAGAGAAAATTGAAAATAATAATTCGGAAAAATATGGAAAAAATACGAAAATTTTTCAAAAGGTCGACTCGAGAAATAATAGGAAAATTCCAAAAATTATACCAAGACAATCTTTACAAAAACCCAACCAAATCCCAATCCCAAAACCCCGGAAAATTCTTCTGAAACTGATGGAAATCCCTTAATACGACAAATTCGAAACGTTAGAAATGGACTTTAGTCTTGACGAGACTGATGATCCATATCTTTTCTCAATCGACAACCCATGTAAGATAAAATGGTATAAAAAAGAGGAATTAAATAGGAAATGAACGAACGCGTAACAAGTTCAGAAAATTGGCGAATGCAGGAAAATTTGCAAAAAAGGAGAAACGATGCGAGTGTGTAAGTATCGCAAAATTTAGGATCGGAAAAAATTATGACGACTGGAAACAAATTTCGTAGACTCTAGATACGAAATGGAAATTTTTTAATGATCAATGCGTCAATTATTGCATTTCACGAACAGCAAATGTAAAATAATTGAGGAAATTAAATAGACTTTTATTTTTCATTTTTTTTTAAATTAATGAGAAAATTCTTTTTTTATTGTCTTTTACAGGAATTATGGAAAGCAAAAATGCAAAGGTCAAATAGATGGATAAGAGCTGACGTCAACTGGAGCCAACTGAGATTAACGTCGAGAAGAACTAAAGGAACTGCTGGAAATTAGTTCTGCGGAAAATTTAAGGAAATTAGCAGAAAATAACAAAAAAAAATTACAGAATTTATTAATTTGGACACCGAATATTGAGAATTGTCAGAAAATTAAAGTCAAAATTTTTGTAAGGGGTTACACTTCGTCCCGTTTAGGGGAAGGGGGATGTAACGTGGCGTTACGAAGTCTCCCGCGTCTGCTGCGAATCGGGCGATTGAACCCGGAAACGGCCGAAGGGCCTCGAGGGTGTCAATCGCCAAATTCGCAGACAGACGCGACACTTGTTGTTCCGATCTCTCAAAAGCAACACCTGATTGCTGGATTAGTTGTGAGTTGTTCCGTGCTCTGATTTCTGTGCCATCGAATTCCCGAGTATAAATAATCGACGACTCGTAAGTGAATAAATATTGTTTTTATTAAAATGCTGTGTCTCCCATTTACTCTCCTTCCTCCCCTTTTCCCTTAATTATAATTGGAGATCTGGGCCTCCAGTTATAATAAATAGATAACAAAATTCTTCTAAAGTATTCAATTATTCTCAAAAATTTTAATAAAATTATTTAAAAATTATTGAACAATTTATTTATTTTAACTAATAATTAAATAATTAACTAATTTAAAGAAGAACTTTAATTAAACAATCTTGAAAATAATTCTAGAAAATAATAATGGAATTTAAATGATAAAAATAATTTAGAAAAAATTAGAGTGACAATATTCTTATATAAAATAATCATTTTATCCCTAGGTTATCTTTAATTCTTAAAAAAATAATAAATTGATCACTCCGAGTCAAAGACTTCTTCATATTTAAAATAATATTCTTATTAGTTTTTAAATTTCAAATTTTTTTTAAAAATCTTAATTCCTACAGAAAAATAATAATAAGTAAATATTTATTTTTAAAGATGAAGTTATTTGTGTTTTTGAATAATTTTTCAATTAAGAAAATTCGTAAATAAAAGTAATAGAAATTTTTTGTGTGTATACCATATCTAATAATTTTTAGAGTGAATCAGAATATTTTTTATGATCAGGAAAAAAGTCAAAATTCTTTCTAGAAATCAGAGAAAAACAAAATTAAATATTTGTGGTATTGAAAAATTCGAAATTATTTAAATATGAAAAATCTTTTATTTTTATTCTCAAAATTTTTGAAATTTTATTAAGTAGTTTGTTTATACAAGGCAACCAAAATAATATACCTCTTAAGGTAGTATTCTGGTCTGTTTTTCCGAGTAGGATAAAAAAGAAAGTTTAATCCTTTTAGTATTTACTTTTGTTTAAAGAATACAGAAAAAAATTAGGAAAAAAAATTAAAATTTTTTTAAAGTTATAAACTGGTGAAGTAGGGACTAAAAAAAAGAAAGTGCGAACTGGTTGACAGTGTGGAGACTTTTATAATGCTCTAAAACAAAAAACCCAAAGAAATTCTTGATTATTACAGACTTCGTTATGATCGGTACATTAGAAAAAAGAAAAAAATTTTTTAGCAAAATGGCGACGATTTAGAAAAAAGTTGTGTTTTTTTGACATTTTTGAATTTTTTAAAAATAAAAATATATATTTTTCAAAATCCAAGGTTCCGATCATAAAGAGATATACAAAGAACATTTCTGCAAAATTTGAAGTAAATCAGTTGAGTAGATTTTGAGTTATCGTGCCAACCAGAATTTTTTTCAGTTATAAACTTCAACAGTTTATAACTTCTAAAATTTTTTTATTATTTTTTTCTGTATTCTTTAAATATTAATAAACAATTTGGAAAAAAATAAATACTAGCTAAAACAAACGCGCGTGAATACTTGCTGGGCGCAACTGCCATAACATAAGAACCCTGATTACCTTAAAAATATGGTAAGAAAATAAATAAATATTGCAATAATTTTAATTAATTGTGCCCAATGTATTCAATATCATTTAAAAAAAGATTAACAAATTATGCATAATTTTAACATAGTCTTATATAATAAATAGGGGGCATCGCCCCCCTGCGCGCCTCGCGCTAACCCCCTAACTATTTTTAATATTTATTTTAATTTTTAAAATCATATTATCTTAATGTGATAACATAGTAATAAGTTAGAGTAAATTATAACAGGAGATATTAAAAAAGATAACTAATAGAGAATTCTACTTTACGGAAGTGATTATAGTGTCAACTTTTTCAAGTTTGACACTCCTCATAGT